TTCATTGTAATGCTAACAGAATCATGCAAGTCTGAAACTTGAAATCTCTCACCATCTCTTTTTACAGCCTGATAAATTAGGGAGGATCATTTCTATGTTTGTTTCTCACTCTTCGTTATGTAGCCCTCCTTATCTGATTGTTCCCTAAGCAACTCTTCCTCCCCTCCTCCCCACATACCATTACACTTGCCATATCCAACCTATTAGCTTTGATCGGGACTAGCCAAGGTCATCTGAATGCTGCCACTTGCTTTGTATTTGTGCCTGTTTGTTTATAGTTCTTCCAAATACTTTTGTCCCCTGGCCTTCCATTCTGAGAGGCTGAAAAACAGAAAGTAAGTTAAAGAATATGGAGATATGGCGATTAATAATGTCAACTCTTAATGATTATTAATTGCCCCCAATACTGGAAACAAAGAGCCAGTTTGGTGTAGTGCTTAAGGCAGGAGTCTAGAAAGCAGGCTAGAGACTGTGAGTTCTAGTCCTGCTTTAGGCACAAAGCCAGTTGGGTGACCTTGGGCTAGTTCTACTTTCTCAGACTTAGGAAGCAGGCAGTGGCAAGCTACTTCTGAAATACCTTGGCAGGAAAATTGCAGTGACGTGTTCTGACACTCATGAGGAATCAAAAACCTACTCAGGGTGCATTTGAGTGTATGAGTGTATGCACACACACATACATACACACTAACAAGTATTAAAGGCTGCTGGAATTGGGTATGTCTAGTTTAATGAAGAGAAGGACGAGGGGGGACATGATAGCAGTGTTCCAATATCTCAGGGGCTGCCACAAAGAAGAGGGTCAAACTATTTTCTAAGGCGCCTGAAGGCAGGACAAGAAGCAACGGGTGGAAACTAAGCAAGGAGAGAAGCAACCTAGAACTAAGGAGAAACTTCCTGACAATAAGTTCAATTAACCAGTGGAACAACCTGCCTCCAGAAGCGGTAAATGCTCCAACACTGGAGGTTTTTAAGAAGAGACTGGACAGCCATTTGTCTGAAATGGTATAGGGTTTCCTGCCTGAGCAGGGGGTTGGACTATATGACCTCCAAGGTCCCTTCCAACTTTACTATTATTATTATTATTATTACATGCCTGAATTTCATGTGAATGCAAGTTGCTGGAGGACACAAGAAAGAGAACACAACTGGTATTTTTTGCCTTGCGGATTTCCCAGGCCGACACTTGTGGGGAGAAAGTATTGATTAATATATACTTTTACACATAACTCCTCTTCCATTTTGTGGATACTGAGTCCTTAAAAGACAGTCAGCTACTTTCTTCATGTTCATATAATATCCTCCCTTGCCATACTCTACTAAACCATATTTAGGCAAGTAGAGTGAGCTCTATAGGTAAGAGAAAAAAAGGAGTCTCCTATTATTTTTGCTGAGGTCTACTATTGTTGTGGTCTACAAGTCTGTTCATGACCTATGGGTTTTCTAGTGGAACATGTTGTCCAGATTTCATGTACAACATTTCGTTCATTTATCTGATGTGTTGGACTTTTTCCTTGCAGAAATTATGATTTTATCTTTGTTGCCTTCTTTTTACTGAATAGATCAAATGTTCCTGACAGTAATTGTGCAGCTTTGCTATAACTGCTCTTTCTGTTGTCTGTCTGAACTTGCGGATTGCTGCAGATTCAAGCTTTGTACTGGTATCTGACTCCCACACATCTCCTTGATCTCCTTTCATGTGACCTCATTCTTTTATGAGGTTCTTTTATCATGGAACACCATTTCTCAGTTGGACACTGGAATGATTCATGTAATAGTTCATGTGACTGGCTATAAGTGACATAAGCACAAAAGGGCTGCAGTTGATCTTTTTTTTAACAAATGATCATAGCTGTGAGTATATTTCTTGCAAGCGAAAGAGTATTTGCCATTAGGCAGCTTCTTCATGTTTTAAATTTCCAATAACTTTATATACCGTATATGAAAACATTTTAATTGGTAACATGGTTCTTTTAAAATTTGGCTTTGTTAACCTTATATTACTTTTTAGGTCATAGGTGAAATTACAAAACTCAATGAGAATCCTAGAATTCATGGCCTTCTCCTCCGCCTTGGTAGAGAATCATACACAAGCAAAATATTGAATGCTGTGAAACCAGAGAAAGATGTGAATGGGTAAGTTCAACTTTGTAAATTTCGCTGAGCAGACCTGGATTTTACATCTTTAGAAAAGTCGTGCGAGAATATGGATTTCATACTTCCTAAGATCAGATGAGTAGGAAAAATAAGCTAGAAGTTTTCCAAAATTAAATATAAAGCTATTCTGTAAATCATGTTGGTTAGAACACGAGCTTGGCATTCTGCAAACCCACAAAAGAGAGTGCGCAAAGATATCAGATGCTGTTTTCAAGGCCCTTCTTAAAATCTTTTATCCTGTTCCAATGCTAAACTGTACCAGCAATGACAAAAGCCAATTATTTAAACAATAAAAACAAGTCAGATATATCTAATATACAAACAAATAACAGATTTCTCTCAGTCATATCTAGATGTTTCAGGGATATTCTTCATTCCCATCTCCTTGGGGCCAAGCAAAACAGGTGTGAAAGCTTAGGTAGCATTGTGACAAAGGGATTAAGAGCTTTGCAGCTGACTTTAAGAGATACAGGCTGAAGAACACTGGGAATAACTTGCCTATCCAGTGATTTACAGAAGTGAATTTAGACCAGGGGGGCCTCACTAGGCTTTGACCAGCATATAAACTGCTATACTTAAAAAGTGGAGTGGACTGGACCTGGGGGGGGGGGTAGTTTTAAGAGGCAGAAATTAGAATCTAGAAAAGGTTCCACAAAAAGAGCGAAAATGCTGGCTAGGAAAGCCAGAGGCTAGAATAAAGGAGTTAATGGTTGCTTGCAGGTGTTGGGGTGCAGTTTTTAGTTTTCAGTCCTGATTTGTCACTCCTACTTTTTTCCTCCAAATTGTATTCAAACTAATTGCCTGGGCTGTTGGGACCAGGAGTGGGAGGGACAGGGAGAATGAAGGACCGAAGACACAAATAAGATATCTTCAGATATTGAAATGATTCACTGAGAGAAATAATTTTTTTTTTAACATCAGCAGACCAAGGGTAGGCAATGTAAGACTTCAAGGTTTATGAATATGTGAGGACCCTGCTGGGCAGAGCTGGACAAAGTTTTTATGATTAGCTTGTTACTGAAGCCTTTGCATTGTCCTTGTATCGTGTTTTTTCTTCTAAAAACAAAACCAAAGTTTTTGCTTGCATTTTCATACATAAATTGCTGAGGACTGTCCCTTATTTTTGTTGCAGAATAACAGATTTTAATTTGGCAAGATTAGTGCATGGAGACATACATGAATGCGTGGTTCCTCCTACTGCCAGAGCAGTGATCAAACTTCTGGAAAACCAAGGTACAACACAGTAGTAAATTATATTTATTATCTCAGATCACTGTTCTTAGCTTGTCTTGACTCACGTTTGACCTGCCTGAATGAAATATAACTTCCCAATGATAACTTCTCTATTTTAAATAAGCAGCCAACCTTGCAAATTCGTTGTTCACCTAACTCAGAATCAATATTATTTACTAAAAGTAAATGGTACAAATGTAGTGTCCTACTAATTGCGATGCTCATTTGCAATGGAACTGGCAGTGGTTTCTGCTATTCCACTTATTTGTATCTGAATTGCTAATGGGCATAAAATATTGATGCTACTCAGAGAAAAAGGAAGAGAAAGCTGTTGCTTCTACCTTCCCTTTACAGTACTGACAAACAGAAAAAAGAACATATAAAAAGAAGAATTAAATTGCCCAATCCTTCTTCTTTCTTTATTAGTTTGCCTGTGAGCTTCCCATTGTTTCCTGCACAATCTCCACTAGGAATAAATTGTGGGTTGTAAGTTTGTGAGTTCATTCATGATCATCGAAATAATCACTGGCAAGAAGATATGATATTTAGGTGCGTGCATGTCTCAAACATGATCTGAACAAACTGTTTGCTGTTTCTTAATGTCACCCGACATTTTCTAGGTTTCTACGGGAGTCTGAAAAGTAGGTGCCATTTGTTAAAGTTAATGGGACTAATGAATAGCAGAAAAGTGCTTCATGAATAAATATGCACAAAATTTTTCTGCTTATTTACTTCTACACGATAGAGTTCTTCATGAACATCTAAGTCAGCTGTGAGTTTACACATAATAAGCCATTAAAAATTGGCAGAGAATTAAGAGTGTCTCATTATATTTTTGACTCTTAATATACTGTGATCATCACAGATATTAAGGCATTTTGTATTTGAAGCTGAAAAGCTACTTTGGAGTGGGCATAGGTGCATGTACAGGACCTAACTTAGTGGCACTTACTGAAAAAAGCTGCGTGTTTTCCTGGGCTCACGAGTAGCTGTGCAATCCCAAGAAAATACAGGCTTGAATTAAGGAGGGTAGCATTTCCATACACTCTAAAAGCATCTTATTGAATTTGTTCGCCCTTAGGTCAAAGTCCTATTTTAGCCATATTGGTTTTAAAGCACTATTTCCAGTGCTGCAAATCTTTAATGTTAAAAATGCTGATTCATACTTGGGGCGATGCTAGAGTGAGAAAGGAAGAACCAAACTTCTGAATGCCCTGCACCTCAAAATGGAAATGAGTTTTATGTATATGGAGTAGATGAATGAATGAAAGAGAGGACATTACAGCACATGAAAGAGTGTGATATAGAATGACCTCTGTTCAATAGAGGGTGTAGAAGTAAGAAATTGCAATTGTAAATTAAAGAAATACGATACCATGTGTATCTATTTGGCATTGGATGCAATTAAGGTGATTAAACAAGCAACATCTATAAGTAAAATATGTATTATCTTTAATTCAGTATATTATATTTTTATTTCACCTTTTTAATATATATGTAATTGAAGGTGGTGAACATGCCTAATCTTCCTTCTATTTTTCCCACAACAATCTATGAGTTGGGTGAGATTGAGAGAGAGTGACTGACCCAAAGTCACCCATCCGGCTAAGGGAGGCCGAGAATTCACAGGCCCCTGGTTTCTCAGCCAGCACCTTAACTACTACACCAAACTGGATTTCATTAATGTTGTTAAAGTTGTCATTAATAGTTCTGCTATTCACATCAAAACCACCATTCCTCCTATACATGCATAACAACCTACTTCTAGTCTATTAGTCTATCAAACTTAATCAGGTATTGCCTGCTCTTCATCACAGTAGTCTTGGTCATAGGAAGAATTCCTAAACTCTAGTGTTGGTCTATCCTGTTATCCTATAAGTTGTTCACATGAGAGATCAGTTTAGGAACACTGAGCTCCCATGATAATATGTTTTGTTTCATTTTGTTTCTCTAGTAATTTGCTGTTACTGTAGATAATGAGAACAATTGTTATCTTTTGCTTTCAGCACGTACTACCCTAGATGGGAAAAAAATATTACTTTTGGGCGTCCAAGGACCTTTGAAAGTTTCCTTGCAGTGTCTTCTTCAAAGAAAAGGGGTCATGACTATGAGCTTGTCATGGAACATGAAGCAACTCCAGACAATGGTAAATATATCAAGGGTGTAATACTTTTTTCCCTACTTTATTTGCTACTTGTCATTTTTATAGATCATTCAGAATTTTGAATATGTTACAAAAGCATTTGTTCCTTCAAAAAATGTAGCATAAAAAAACCTATAAACAAAGTATATATTACTTCATCTCTAGATTTACTAGCTGGGTCCACATTTCACTATGTCCTAGTTTCTAACCATTTTTAATAAGTTCCATTTGGTTGAGTGCATATATTGCAGTAAAGGCATAAATTATGGATTGCAAAATTCACTGCACTGTACTGCAGCGCATATACCACTAGCTTTCTACAGACGCACACACACACACACACACACACACACTGTTATTAAAATTTCTCTGCCCATTCCCACATCATTAGTAGACATTTTACCAAAGTATTCTGATTCATATATTTATTCTATTTTCTGACCTTGCTGTATACATATCTTGCTGTATACAGATAGTTCTCATTTAGCGACCACAATTGGGATTGGCAACTTCATCACTAAGCAAAGCAGTTACTTAGTGGGAAATTACATGACGAGAACTGTGCTTTCTTTTTCCTCATTCCCAGACACCTTGAAATGGTCATCCCTTGCGTATTGGGGTAACCAGCTTGACACTGACAAGATTAATCAGTTTCACACCTGCTGGGATAATGAACAAGAATGGAATTAATCTTTCTATTTATATTCATTGGGGAGGAAGGGACTATATGAGAGTAAAAAAAGGTCCACAATGGGGAATACACATCAAAAGCAATATGCTGGGTCTAGCAGCCACAGCACACTATGCAAACAGCCTGTTGTATTCTCCATTGTCAGCATCCTTATCTTCCTCTCTACTGTATTCCATGTTGAGCCATTCACAAAGCATTCATTTTATTCCCCTACATGCCTTACTTCTTTCATATACTCAGCCACCGATCTTCAACTCCGTATTTACATAAGCCTGTTCACTTATTCACATGCTTTTTCTAAATGAGCAAAAAAAAAAGTATCCTATTCATATATTTCTTAGTGACCTGCTCTTAACCCTTTGAGGTAATCCAGACAAGAAGCATGCAATGAATACTAACTTTATTATTATTATTATTAATAATAATAATAATAATAATAATAATAATAATAATAATAATAATAATAATAAAGTAAGTTTAGAATTGTAAGAATCTTGCAAGCTGAAAGTATCTCTCCCGTCCCTCATTTTTACTCTCCCAAAACAAGGGAGGGTATCTTTTCAGATGTTTTTTCCACTCGTCATTCTGACTCAAGTTTCAATTTTCAGACCAGGGTCTGTTTACTGTTCCCCCTACTGAGGAGCAAAATCTGATCTGTTCACCACTTGCTTGACATAAACTGCATTGTACTTGCCAATATATGTTCATTGTCACTGTCATACTTTATCAATCAAATATGTTGAAACATCTTCCCAGAGACACCAAATGAATCCCCTTGTTGTTGATGATGATGTTGATTTTCATTCATTGGCAACAGGGCCAAGGAAGTGTCAGTGCTGATGAAGCCGAGGGAAGCTTTGTCATTGTGGACTTTTTTTAAGTTTTGGCTCCAGCAATTGACTTGAGGATACTGAGTGCAAATTCTGGCATTCTGTGTAATGCAAAAGCATTGCAATTTCTCTGGCTCAGTCAGAATCCAGCTTCCAGTACTCCACAGGTTTCCAGCAGGGGGCAGCCAAGTCAAATAAGGTGGCTGATCTTTTTCTATTTGGAGTTCATAATTGACACTATAAAATATGTTTCCCCTAAACTGAACAGCTGTGATGCTAAGATATGCCTCCATTGGAAAGATTCTGTTTTTACAGCTGCTTATATTACTGTATCATTTTGTACAGGGAAATTCAGAAAAGCATAATTGTTGTCCCCAATATCGAAACAGCCTCCTTAAATTTAAAAATTCTGGCAACTGTCCTAACTGGTTTACTCTTCATGGCATCAAATTGTACTTAGATATTTATTTTGATAATTGTGCAATTATAATAAAAACATTTTTTTTATTTTATTACAGTAATATAGAATTAGAAATAAAAAAAACAGGAAAAAAAATCCTCAAATAGTGTAAGAAACTTTCCAAATGAAAAAAACTGAAGTGGAAAACAAAACAATATATATATATATATGTAGCCACGTGTAAGATAGTCCTCAACTTATGACCACAATTGAGCCCAAAATTTCCATTGCTAAGCAAGTAGTTGTTAAGTCAGTTTTGCCCCATTTTACAACCTCTCTTGCCACAGTTGTTAAGTGAATCACTGCAGTCATAAGGTTAGTAACATGGTTCTTAAATAAATCTGACTTTTCCCTCGATTTTGCTTGTCGGAAGGTCGCAAAAGGTGATCACCTAACCCCAGGACACTGCGACTGTCATAAATATGAGTCAGTTGCCAAGGGTCTGAATTTTGATCACATGACCCTGGGGATCCTGCAACCATCCTAAGTGTGAAAAACGATCATGTCACTTTTTCCAATACTGTTGTAATTTCAAGCAGTCACTATACGAATGGTGGTAAATTGAGGAATACCTGTATATACATAGACGTCTTAATTTTTTATCTTTATCAAACTTTTTCAGATTGGCTTCTCTTTTCAAGAAAATATGGTCATAGGAGTAAAATCTAATTGTTGCCTGAAAAATCTTTTGAAGGATACTTACAGATTAAAATTCTTTGATGCCTAGTTAGAAAAACTTAAAATTAATAAAAATTGAATTCATGTGCTGAAATTGAGTGCCAATCAAATCATACATTCTTTGACCTTCAGTACAAATTGTTATCATGCATTCCAAATTATTCAGTGCAGTTTTTTCGCATGCTGGAATGGTACCATTCCCTTAAGATAGCGCATCATTTCTAGAAAAGACTGCATGAAGCTCAGAGATTTGAATTGCCAAAGGTCCAAGTGAACCATAAGAATGTTTTACATAAAATTGAGAAAAATGTGAATAATTGCACTTTGAATTGTTATACTGCAACTGTTGTAATCACAGTGACAGCATTTCTAAAAGAATACTGTTAGTGTCTAAATTAGTTCCACATCATGAGAAACAAAAGATTCCACATCGTGAGAAAAAATCATATTGTCCTTTAAAGTGCTTGAGTTCAACTCTCGTAGGTATAAAGGAGTGCATAATGGATGGGAAATCACCACGAAAATGTGAAATATCCAAATTCTCAGTGAAAATGCTACCAATGCTACCTTTCACAATTCAGGTTGCAGTTTATGTATCACCACAAAGAGCCTTTGATCTTAGTCCCCACTTGATTTCTTCTCTTGATTGTGATCAAAGCACTGTCAATGTTAAACATGTCGAGCTCTACATTTGTGTTGGCATGGTGAGGAGACCTTTTCTATGGAGACCTTTTCTATCAGGAGACCTTTTCTATGGAGATGAATAATAAAAAAAGGTAATTTCTGCTGCTTCCATAATCAAAAAATGATTTTTAAAAAAGAAGAAAAAAACATAGTTTTAATTAAGGTTGTTTAGTAAGTATCCATCTTGGAATTTATTTGTTTATGACGGTACTTTTCCTGCTGGAAACTCATTTTTCAGGAATGGGATTTACTAATATGAAAAATAGTGTAGGGAAAAAAAACTATTCCCCTCTTCTTTCTGTATTCCATTGTTATGGGATATTTGAAGATGCCTTTGGCTACATTAAAGGTGGTGAAGCGGCTCAGCGGTTAAGACACCGGGCTTGTTGGCTTGAAAGGTGCAGCCCAGGTTCAAGACCCGAGTGCCACGCGACGGGGTGAGTTCCCATTCTTTCCCTAGCTCCTGCCCACCTAGCAGTTTGAAAGCATGGAAATGCGAGTAGATAAACAGGTACCACTTTGGTGGGAAGGTAACAGCGCCCCACGATGTCATGCTGGCCACATGACTGTGGAAAGATCTTCGGACAGTGCTGGCTCAATGGCCTTGAAACCGAGATGAACACTGCCCCCTAGCAACGACTAGTGGAGTACAATCCGCAGGGACTCCTTTACCTTCCCTTTGGCCCCATTAAGGGAAAAATAAAACTGTTGTGAAATACTACTGCAAATCTCTGTGTAGTGTGAATTTTGGTTTTGAGATTCATACTTTTAAACCTACATTTCTTTTAGTTTTTGTGTACATATATATCTCTTTAGCTTAAAGATCAACATTTGTCTTCAAATATAGTTAATCCTTCCAATCTAGTAATCCTCGGATATATGGGGACTGCAAGTCTCAGAATCCCCAGTCAACAGTGCCTCCACATCTGGAGGATATCTGGTGGGAGAGGCCCAGGGATCAGCTTCATGTCATCCTATGTCAGCCAATTATGTGGAACTGAATGAGGACTTGGACATCAGGGACAGACACATTGTACCTGTCAATGTGATAAGAACAAGACTAAGCATTTCTTGATGACTTGTGGAATT